GTTATATTAATGTTTATGTAATTTCATATATATAGCGTTTTTAGATTTAAGCATTGATTATATTCACGAATCTGTATTGTAATCCCATTTATGTATTACACCTACCACGATTTCTCTGGGTTGACTGGTAGAGAATGCCAATAGGCAGTAAGTGCCCCCTTTGTCACTCCTTTTTTTAAGTGGTTTTTTTTTAGGTCAGTGGCTTTCTTACCTAACTGATAGTAGTATTTTGACAAAGAAAGAGTAAGTTAAGTTTAATATTTCTCTATTGAATAACGAAATTTGAATTTTAATTTGTAGAAAATTGGATGAAAAGTTTTTTGGGACTGTGAGAATTTGAACCTTCGTTCTCCTAGTTACGCGTCAAGCGCGAAGCACATTCATTTTCGTCTTCACACCGATGAAAATCTAATTAGTAGTATTTATTTGATAGTTGCTAATCGAATATAAGCTATGCTTCGGTTCGGATGATATTATACTATACTTTTTAACAATTATACGTTATTCTTATTTAGTTCTTGATTTGTAAGTATTTTCGCTAACGGATAAAATGTCAATTCGAAGTATATATAAATACAAGTGTAAAGTAATCAAAGTTAAAAGGAAAAGAAAAATAAACTATTTTATAGATATACTAACAGCCTGGCTGTATCAGAGGAAATCGTTGCAAAATACTATTACGGATTATATTGTTCAATATATTAAACAAAGACGAAGTAAAAATAGTTATATATTTTCGATGTGCGTGCGAATAAAAAATCGATATCGATTTATTGACCGTCTAATTCATTAAGTGGCATCTGACAAGTGACAAGTCAGCGGGTCATTTATCTATGTACGTCCAATCGACTTGTGTATTTGCGTATGTATCTATGTACGATGGATATGCTTTTTCTAATGGACTCCGACAATGTTCAAACCTTAACTACAACATCTTTCTCCCCATTCTCAAATTCCTCTCAGTCTTTAGTAAACGATACAAGATGAGATGGTTGCGTGAATTGTGACTGAACAGTCACATCAATGCGAAGAGATTTGTTGAAAATTGCTAGATCGTAATCTTATAAAAAATGTATATGTATAATATTCATTGAAAAAAAGCAATTGTATCTCAGAAACCGTAACTTTATTTAAACCATTTTTTTGGTTTCTTATTTTATATTGCTTATTTTATCATCGCCACATATGTGTGCACTCAGGGCCAGAGTGTCGACGGTGTGGACGGTGGGTTTCTTCCTTTACCGGAGAAATAAGGATGACTAGTTTGATGAGGACCTTTTTTTTTGTAAATCGTGAGAAAGCAATGATCTGGTATAAAAAAAAGTAAAAAAAAAAATAAGTGTGTAAATGATCGTGACACGAACCGCAGCCTTCTGTTTCGGGGCATTATGATGATTCACCGTCCTAACGAATGAAACTTATGACACAAACACGACATTTGTATTCCGTTTAATTCCAACCATTATTAATTCCAATAATTATTCTTAATATCATTCACTGTAATATTATAATATAGATGGTATATTTTTTCTGCTAGTGAATATTTGTCAGTAAACTTGAAAACAGCTAGTTTTACATGTTGTGTGTACGTGCGTTAAAAGCGCGAAGTCGACCTCTAGTCGATTTATAAAAAGCCTAATGGAAATTACACTTGCAAAGGAATAGAGGCCAAGAGTACGATGGAATATTTAATCTCCTTACATTAATTTTAAATTTGTACCATGTTTTTTTTATCCACTACTATCATCAGTACAGACAATTCAAAACATCTCTACCAAATTAAAATTAAATTGAGGTAAATATTCAACAGTTTCACAGCTTCTTTTTTAGGTTTCCGTACCCAAAGGGTAAAACTAGACCCTATTATTAGTAATAGGGGTCTAATAGAATAATAGAAGTCTTAGAACTTCGATATCTGTCTGTCTGTCTCTCTGTCCGTCTGTCACCAGGCTGTGTATCTCATGAACCGTGATAGTTAGACAGTTGAAATTTGCACAGATGATTTATTTCAGTTGCTATAATAACAAAGAAAACAGAATAAAAATATCTATAGTAATTTGCATAATAATATTTTTAATCAAATATTTTAATGTAGTCATTTTCACCAAAGAATTACTTGGAGCACGGGGAAACTAAAGCTGTGCCTTGATACATTTAAAATGCAAATTACCGAGAAATGTTTCGCAAATTCTAAGACAGTAAGTGCGAGTAAAATTAAAAAAAAAAAGTTGTAGACTATAAATTGTTTGGTTTCGTTTGCTTTGACTTAATTTTGCCCCAGCTTTTTTCCAGGATGATGTCGCGCAGACTTATGTTAAGCAGTTGTAGGACGTACGTTAGCTGGTAAGTGAATACATCATTATACTCACCTTGTATATGAATGCTATAATTGTTATATATTTTTTGTTAATATGTTTTAATTATTCATTATTTTTTAAGTTAATATTTTGTTAAAGGACAATATTTATTTTGACCTTGATATTTCTCTGCGTTATTATATTTGCCTTTATTTTAATCACATTATTTGGTCACAGTGTCTCTTTACAAAATTGAGCAGTTATTTCTGAAAACTTTGGAAATCAAACAATAGAATTCGTGTTTAAATAAAATTGCGTATGACCTAAATGTTTTAATAAGAAAACTACTGTTTCAATAATAAAAAATAGCTTCGAAATCCCCCTTACAGTAATAGTAATAGTTTTTGGAGATATTTTGAGAGGTCTTTTTTAAAATTATGACTATGTCTATTTAAAAAATAGACAATCTTGGTACTATTTTTAATTTGTAAAATGATATCGAACAATAACAAATATCTCTATCTTCAGGATATCCAGCGCTCAGAAAAAAAAATCCCTGTTGGGGAAAGTATTAAGTGATTACGACACTTACGTTCCAAAGATTATCGATAAATCTTTAGCCAATGCCTCATTTACAGATTCAACGGAAGTAAAAGATAGAATAAAAAAGGTAATTTTTCTCTTAATAATTTGAAACTAAGATAATTTAAAGAGAATGTTGTAATAAGTTTATTGTGTGAATTAAGTTTTAGAATGATTAAAGCAAAGTTTTACAAGCAAAAAAAAAATGAAAAAGCTCCATCCATGTCTGAGAAGGACCCTAATGGATCCTGATGGGATAGTTCAGTACGCGACTCCATTCCGGATTATCAGACGACATATTTTCGAAATATTTATCTTGTTAATATTTCGAAAATATGCAGTTTTCCTCGCGACGAACTTCTCAGACCGCCGATCACTAGAAAAGTTAGCATTTAAAATAAATCATTGCATTGCATTGCTCGAGAATAACGAATTAAAAGCGAGCACCTAGACACTGAGCTATCACGGCTACATAATAATAGATATGATCCAATTTAGAATATAATAGTGTGGTGTGAACATAGTGGTGAGGAATCCCTTTTACGATATTTACTGTAAACGCTTAGAAGTTGTTCAAAGGATATGGTATTGTATACAAAGATATGACTCTAGCGCACAGAAATTGAGGCACTCAAAATACACTAATTGGTGTAATTAGATTACAATTCTATAGACTGCTATCTCCTTCCCTATCATACGTTCTATATCATCTGTCACATTCACTTATATATTCCATTTAATGTAAAGCGTAACAATTTTAAAACACCGCTCAGTATGGAATGCATCATCTATATTTTTAAAACACCATTGGTCCAAAGGCCGAGGTTGTCTTTACCATCTGTCATTTAGAGATCAATTAGTTTATGCGGTTCCCAGTTAAAAAGATCGTCTGAATCATTATAGCATTCTTCCTTTGGCCTGTAGGGTATCAGTTTTATAAGTGATTAGGGTATGTTAAAAAAGCGGTGATCGCCTATAACAATGTTGGAACATTTACGATTTCTTTACTTTTTTAATTATTTTTCATGATTAATGTGTCCAGTGTAAGCGAACGTTAAGAAAATAAATAAAAAATTAGTAGGGTAGTGACAACCCCATCGCACATCAGTTTAATGACAAAACTATTGCACCGTCACAATCAGTTCGCGCCTTGCTAAGAGGTATTTGCCTCGGCTAACCTTATCCGCATAGGCCCGTCTGTATGTAAGGCTAGTGAGAGGTCGTTCTGCGCTGCACTGATCATCAGTACGACGTTGCCCTTCAAGAACCTTTCTTCCCCAAAGGTTATCGGTTCTACGAGCTGTCGTTTCTACATGTGTCCATCTATTTTCATTCGTTATGTTTTATATCAAGCGCACTCCGGCTTCCAAGATCTCAGGCACCGCCTCTTTTGGGAGCCACAGTGTCCATGTTCTCTTACTGTAACTTACCTTAATTTAATGTAAATGCTCTGTATTGCTATTACGATAGAAAATAAACGAATATCAAAAATATTAAATATCATATGGCCGGCCCATCGCCACTACAGTTTGCTATCTTCTTAGCTATCTCGGTTACTTTTGTTCTACTGAGGATGTCTTCATTGTGCACTCTATCACGCAGAGAAGTACCGAAGTAAAGCCACAAAGCTATTTGTCGTATTAACTTGTAACTATAATTTCCAATGAAATTTTGTCTTCAATGTCGAATTTTGGTAACGGCTGATTTCACAGTCAGAAATATTACGTTCACACATCTATATTGTTCGTATATTAGAAAAGACGTTAAACACTTTCGACTCTTTAAGAAAACAGGAATAAATGGAGTTAACGTAAATAATAGAATACATTTACTACATTTTCAATGTTTAGGTCGTGTTTATTTCATTGTAGCATTGCTCACTGCTATTAACAATTCAATGAATAATAAAACTATTTTGTCTCTAGCCACCTATAAATTTATTGACTTAGGCTAAAATTAAAATTGTGAAATGCGATAGAATTTTCTTTATTTTTTATTTCTGTTTCGTAGTCTTCAGAATATTACGTCGTTGGACGAAACCCGGTGCAAGGTGAATTTATGACATTTACTTACGACTCCATCGTAAAACCCAAAAATGTCAGCGATGAGCTATTGCACCAAATGCAAGTTGTGGTTTGCACGGTGGAAATGGTAAGTAATATTCAAAGCTGTAGAATAATCATTAATATTACATATCACACACTTTTAGGCAGCTTATCACCACAGCTAAACTAATCGTCAAGGTGGTAACTAGAACAGTTTGGTAAAACTTTTCTAGTTACCTGGAATTGGTCATCTCTGTACATCCAATTTGAACAAGTTGGTGCAAGCAATAAAGTTATGAGCTGAAACCATCGAAAAATAATCTTCATTAAGAGGTGTGCGATATCTGATGATGGGTTTCCTTAGAAACGTCAATAGCTGCGGTAGGATCATACAACAGTTCGGTTGTAGCATGAATGTGCAGGTCGAGTGAATTGTTTGTCTCACAGAAGACCGGCGTGAAGTAGAAGTTTTATACTACTGCGTTTCGACTGGGGAGTTAGTCGGCGCTCACAATATTCAAAGGTGGCAACCCATCTGCACCCTGCGGGTGTTGCAAATGTCCACGAGCGTTGGTTATCACTTAACATCTGGTGAACCGCCAGCTCGCTTGCCATCTTCTTACTTAAAAAAACGAAAAGGAAGTCACTAAGCAAATATGAACATATTTTTTTAATGAAAAAACAAAGAGGTATTGGGAGAATAACATGTTTCTACAATGTACATGTGTGTAAGTACATGCAAACAAATAATCGTTTACTTATAAACGTATTAGTGGCGTAGACTAAGAGGTGTTCTGTGTTTTGGATTTCTTTAGAGCAAAAGTCACACATATATTGAATGGCAACAAGGTCAGAACCTGTCATATTATCAAGTTCATTGAAAAGTTCAAAAGGCCATTATTCCAAATTTCATTTATGATTTCTCTAGGTGCAAAGTTACTATTTCTTCTGGGACGATTATGAGGATGGTGCTAAAACAAGACAAGGCAAACCATGTTGGCATTTGGTGGACCATATCGGCTCCTTAGCCTTCAACGATGCTTGCCTCATGAGAAGCTTTATCGAGGAGATAGTGAGACAAAATTTTGAAGACAGATTACGTGATCAAATCTTGAACATTTATAATAAAGTAAGTCATTATGTAAGTAACATTTGTTGTGGAATGATAGCTAGTAATTATCAACTGAAACTATTTTTACTTTTTAAACATTTGCTCCTTAGGAAAAGTAATCTCTAGAAGGTAGTTTAACTCTTTAAGCTGCAAGCATAATAATATATATGTCCCTTTTTATACAGAGGTGTGATAATAACTAAAAAAAATCTTTTTACAGCTTTATTTTGCTGCTTCTATAGGTCAATATTTGGACACAATAGTGGCTAGATCAAAGAATTATGACAGATTCACGATGCAACAGTACAATTATACCAACAAACATAAATCATCCTTCTATGCTGTTAAATCGCCGATGCTATTGGCTTTAGCCCTCAGTAATAAATTAAATGAGGAGACGTTTAATATTGTAGATAAAATTGGAAATGATATTGGAATATTGGTGCAGATACACGTAAGTAAAAGCCTTAAAAAAAATCTCTGTAATTATCAAAAAAAATTTTTTTTCGTGATGTGGCATTTTAATCTTCCCTTCCGACTACTGTCCCATTCTCATAATTAAGACCCATGCTATCTATATAGTTTTAAAACTTTTTTATGTTGATTGATTTTTCACTTTATTTTTAAAAACACCGCTGAAAAAGGAAGTTTCTTTTGCAGAGAGCAATTGTTGAAAGTAATTCCACAAAACTATTCATTATTCGAAAGTACTAGGGCAAAATATGACAGGTCTCGAAAATCTTCATCGTCGAATTCGTTATCGAAATCTGAAAGAATATTATGAACGAAATGAAAGTGTTTGCACCCGACTACCGATGTAGGGTAATGTTTTTGAGAATATGTATGTACTTATGTATGTCATTAAATTCCTCTCAATCATCGGAGTGACATATGGTATGATATTTCATGAAGATGTCCACGAAAATAAAATAGTTTGTACAAACTATTTATTTTATTTTAGGCCCTGCTTGTTTCTTTAAAAAATCTCTTTCAGCAGACCTGTGACTGGAAATTGTTCACAAACGGTAGTCAGTGGTGTTTGTTATTTCCGTCGGATTTAATTGTTTCATCCAATTATTTATACTTGTTTGATAATTCCAGAACGATCTAATAGACTATTTCCATGTGAATGGCTTTGTTTCGGGTAAAAGCGGGACCGACATACAGGAGGGTAAGTGCTCATGGGTGGCGGTTGCCGCTTTACAAAAGTGCAATCCCGGGCAGCGGCGCATTTTTACGGAGAACTATGGCAGTAAGGAACCAGAAAAGGTGGAGCGCATTTTGCGTTTGTACGAGGAATTGAATATACAACAGCTCTACGCGCAAGAGGAGAAGGCGCGTTACGATGCCTTCCATAAGCAAGTGAGCGAGCTGCCGAAAGACTCTGTACCTTCTGCCGAATTCTTCAAAGACTTTTACAGTTTAATAAGAAACTATACCCAAGATATAAAAACACTTATGTATGACAAATATTAAGGAAAGCCTCAAAACGCGATCAGCGTTCTTAAAAGTAATTTTTACCCTGTTACTTGTGTTAAAACAATGTCGTAGCTTAAAAGTTACAGCTGAATGAATATAAAAATTATGAATTATAAAAAAACTATAATAATAACCTACCAACCAATTTAATAATAAACAATCTATTATATATGTATACATCTTTTTCTTATTAACAAAACATAGCAATTTATGATAACACCATCCGAGCGCAACATGCGAATGTTTAGTTTCCAATAAAAAGAAATTTCAAAACTTGGTTTCAATCAAAAAGTTTGAATATAAATAAATTATTTTGAAAAACTAACTTCTTAACACACATCAAAATTGAGACAGATTTGAAATGTTACATTAGTAATATATTAATATTTTTACAAACGAATTGTATAGTAAAATATATTCCAAATATTTATGGATGCAATTATAGAATAAGGATTTAGGGCATCCTAAGTCACTGAAGCGTAGTCTAATAGCGCTTCTGGCTATTATAAAAAAAAAAGTATTTAATAATATAGTTAAAATGGTCCATAAGCTTTATGTGAGTGATAAAAATCATATAGTAATCAGTTATTTATTTTATCGATTTATTATTATAAATACAGATAAAATTGATACAAGATTATGTTTAAGCGCCTACAATATATTTATAGCAAGATGATTGATTGTGTCGATTCTATAATATTATTTACTTACAAGATTTAATTTCATTTCTTTCAAATAACTCGTTCTTATGGACCACCGTAGGTATATACTACATCAGGAATTATGTTTGTTTTTTAAATATTGAACCTTGTAAAATGAATATTCCCTTAAATTACTTTTCCCAAGAGTTAGTTTTCCGAAATAATTTCTCAAAATACTTACTTTTTTCTCACATTCCATAAATTAAAAACAAATTATGGTATTGAGCTGATTTGAATACTAAAATTGTTGCTAGATATAAATACGAGAATTTTGGCCTATATGTATTTCGACTGTGGTCTCTACCACAGCAAAATATATATGTAGCCCTCAACAAAGTACATTTTGAAATTAAAATTTTTTATAGTGCTAATCTCTGCACTTAAGATTAAACATTAAAATTTGCAGAAAAAGTACGAAAAGATTGTCGCCGCAACAATCTTTTAGTATTCAAATCAGCTCAATACCATAATTTGTTTTTAATTTATGGAATGTGAGAAAAAAGTAAGTATTTTGAGAAATTATTTCGGAAAACTAACTCTTGGGAAAAGTAATTTAAGGGAATATTCATTTTACAAGGTTCAATATTTAAAACAAACATAATTCCTGATGTAGTATATACCTACGGTGGTCCATAAGAACGAGTTATTTGAAAGAAATGAAATTAAATCTTGTAAGTAAATAATATTATAGAATCGACACAATCAATCATCTTGCTATAAATATATTGTAGGCGCTTAAACATAATCTTGTATCAATTTTATCTGTATTTATAATAATAAATCGATAAAATAAATAACTGATTACTATATGATTTTTATCACTCACATAAAGCTTATGGACCATTTTAACTATATTATTAAATACTTTTATTTTTATAATAGCCAGAAGCGCTATTAGACTACGCTTCAGTGACTTAGGATGCCCTAAATCCTTATTCTATAATTGCATCCATAAATATTTGGAATATATTTTACTATACAATTCGTTTGTAAAAATATTAATATATTACTAATGTAACATTTCAAATCTGTCTCAATTTTGATGTGTTAAGAAGTTAGTTTTTCAAAATAATTTATTTATATTCAAACTTTTTGATTGAAACCAAGTTTTGAAATTTCTTTTTATTGGAAACTAAACATTCGCATGTTGCGCTCGGATGGTGTTATCATAAATTGCTATGTTTTGTTAATAAGAAAAAGATGTATACATATATAATAGATTGTTTATTATTAAATTGGTTGGTAGGTTATTATTATAGTTTTTTTATAATTCATAATTTTTATATTCATTCAGCTGTAACTTTTAAGCTACGACATTGTTTTAACACAAGTAACAGGGTAAAAATTACTTTTAAGAACGCTGATCGCGTTTTGAGGCTTTCCTTAATATTTGTCATACATAAGTGTTTTTATATCTTGGGTATAGTTTCTTATTAAACTGTAAAAGTCTTTGAAGAATTCGGCAGAAGGTACAGAGTCTTTCGGCAGCTCGCTCACTTGCTTATGGATCACTTCACTTGCTTATGCAATCTTAAGTGGAAAGAAAAAAAATTTAATTTCTAAAAAGCAATAGCGACATCTCTCGTTCGAATTATTGTTGTAAAACGATATTCGAAATCCTTTGTACGGAAAGGATATAACAATGGATGGGCCAAGCATTGCTTCAAATGCTAAAAAACAATGCAGATAAAAGTCGTTAAGATTTTCGTCGGTGTGGCAATATATGATAATGTATATGCTCATACAGTACTTATTACGCCACAAATATGTTCTAACATTTTTCAAATGTTACAAAGGCAGGGGAAAAAACTACAGTCAATACCTGTTTCACATACCAGAGGAGGAATCCGGCGAAGCGTGTTTCGTCCGCCTGTGCACCGGACTACCTAAATTGTTGTACGCCTTTGAATGTATATAGTGTTGGAAAGTCCTTTGTATGAGAACGGAGCAGTTATGCGATGGGAACGTTTGGTTTTGCTGCAGAAGCATATTGACGTCTGCTATTTTGTATTGAATAATAGTATTATCTCAATAATATTAAAGACGAGTGAGGAAACGGGGGCCTACCTTATTAAAGGTAGCAACGTATGTGCTACCCTACGGATACGCAAATGTCCATGGGCGGTGATTATCGCTCACCAACAGGTGAACCACCAGCTTGCTTGCCATTTCCTCACATAAAAAAATAACCTCACCGAAAATCCTAATATAACAGTCTTTCTTCACTATTGAAACGATAGGTGTCGCCCTGTTGGGACGTTCGAGACGATACCATTCGCCACCGGCTCGTGCAGGAGAAAGCTCACTGGTGAGAGGTAAACCGCTCCATGTCATCAACAATTAAATCACCATATCTGGAACTAAAATTGTTCAAATTAAAAAAAACCTAAAGAATCATACTTTTAAAAGTTGTATACTTTTATCATTTCTAGTAATATCTCTAGTAATAGATATTTACGTATGTCTATGTCTCACCAAAGGCCTTATAACACCTTCAGATTTCACTTGTTAATCCGTCATACCGTAGCAGCAAGGGGCACGTTTATATTGAAAATACCAAATTTTGGTTTGTACAACTCCTCTATATATACTAATAAATGGAGAACCGTTTGTTTTGCCCGGTTATACTGAGAAAACTACTGAACCGATCGCAGTAATACTTATACCATAAGATGCAACGTGTTTCGAACTTTGGGAACCTATATTTTATTGACTTTTAGAAGATGGTTTGACCCAGCGAAGCGGGCGGGTGACAGCTAGTAGCTAATAAATGCACTGCCTGTATCACAATCCATTTTCAAGTACGCATATGCACTAGTAATGATAATATGAACAAGAGTTTTGTGTAAACTAACGTTTAACCGATTAAGGTTAACGACTACCTCCTGACTTTAGTCGTTGATAACAACCTCGTGATCGCGTCCGTACTATGATGCCCCGCTGGAGACGGACACATTCGTAGTAAATTGTTCTTATTTATTACATACTCGAGATACGTAGCAAGCAAACGATTTGCAAGTCACAAAGTCTGGTCGGCACCCTGCATCGAAATACGCACAGGCTGCGCGGTTATGTAGTAATGTCGTATTTTTAGTTGGTACCCTAATACAAACTCATGCAACACTCTCCGATCCGGTGGCAGGGGTCCATAAAAACCAAGAAAAGTTGAGCAGCGCCGAACACAACTACTACCGATCACACGCCCACTTCGTATACCACTAAATACTTACTTTACTTTTCTTTTGTTTTTATATTATTATTTTTTCCTCTTGTAATTACTCTTAGGTTATTTAATTTATTTGCTTATTTTATTTTTATTTTTTTTTGTTTGTTATTTTGTAGATAATTATAAACATTGTAACCAAATGTAATATGTGTGTAGATGAAGTGTCGGATTAAATGTCTTAATGTCGTCTTAAATACAAAAACGCCTAGTTTGTAGTTCCCTCGCGCAGGGTTGTATTAGGGTACCTTAAAAACGATAGTACAAAACATTTATTTTTTTATTTTTATTTATTTAATTATGTACACAGAGAATGTAATCTAAAATGTTACATGAAAGGATTTGACAAAGGCCCTACTTATTTCTTAAGAAATTTCTTCCAGCAGACCTGTGACTGGAAATTGGTCAAAGTGGTAAAAACATAAATGGAACGTATTAGTTAGAAAATTTACACCATAAGTTTCTATTTAACATCGTCATTGGAATCAACACCAGTTAAAGATTTTTTTTCGGCCATGTCACCTCTACTCAAACATTTCTCCTTTGGCGTAGATACTCCCGTTCTTTTGTCATTTTCTGTCTGCCAGTTTACATTATTAGAGCACAAAAATGTACTATTTTACTAAAAAACTCGCAAACGATTGTTATCAGTCTGAAGTCTGAATAAGAATGGCAAGGTTATCGTACCGTACCGTTAGAATAATAGACATCCTTATAACAACCTCTAGTATCTACTTATAGTATAATATGCAAAATTACTGTTCAGAAAAAAGAATAATTGACGGACAATCTCAGTAAATAGTTCATCAATGACGCTTATTTATAATGTGGTAATGATTGACAATGGCATAGACAATTATTAAGTTGTAATATCGACTTTGTATTGTTCGACAGCATTACAATGTGGTTTTTAATGTTGGATTGGCATGGAATGGAAATTTATATTTCTAATTTATGGAAAGTAATGAAATTACAGTATTTTTTCGTTCCGTCCTTAGATATGAATATTAGAATTATTATTACAAAATCCAACCCTGCCCTCGCGTCTTCCAGTGCCTTTGAATGTAGGTACCTCGACAGTCACTGCGTCCTTCTCGGCCACCTCCATATTCACTCACTTATATTATTTACCGGTCTAATCTTTTGTCAAATTCTTATAGCTGAATCACGTTCATTTAAATTTTTTTTCTTTATGCATTGTTTACTTTTGAAGGAACGTTTAGTTGTTTGCATTCATTATCTGTGTACGTTAATGGAATAGCGGAGTTTAGAAGCTTGAGACACATCAACCATTCTTTTAATTGGGTCCTCTTAATTATACCGCGGCAAGTTATTAATTACTCTTCATACAGCCCGGTTGTTTATTTTCAATTTGTCACTTTTCAATTAACCGTCATTTACACTTCTAAAAACATAATTATCATTGGTATTGTTTTGACTGCTAAATTATTAATTGTCTCTTATGAATTGAATAAGGTAGTGATAATATTTATTGGCGAAATTAGGGTGAGAACTAATGTTTTTCAGATTGGTAGTGTGTCCGTCTATAAATTGTCTTGTTCCGTTTGCTTTGACTTAATTTCAGATACAACTTCTTTCCACGATGATGTCGCGCAGACTGTTACTAACCAGTTCTAGGACGTACGTTAGCTGGTAAGTGCATTTTTGGTAAGACAGGCAATGGTTAACGTTTATTTTTTAATTTTAAAATTGTTAACAGGGAAATTTTCCTTAGTAATAGTTTTGCAAAGTCTTTTTCTATATACTTCTATTTTGAAACCGCTCTCAATCATTATAAAAACGTTACCGCATATAGTGCTTGGTCGTATCATAGTGATATATTATCTTATATGTCATGTACTTACTTTTTGAAATGTCTTGGTATGCTTACTCTCCGGACAAAACTGAGTAGTAGTTGGAAATCAAAAACTTCACGACAGGCTTAAATAAAATATAGTTAAACGTAAGTTCATTTGGGTATTACAATGTGTAAGAATATACTATTTTAATATAGTAATTTATTGAGTAATTTATTTTAATATATAGTAGTTTATTCCTTCTAACGGTTTTAAATAGATTGCTTTTGTTCAAGATTCAATGTTAAAAGGTGGGATCTTAAATCTAAAAATTTATTTATTTATTGAGATTATCTTTTTTAATCTTAATCTTTATTTTCAAAATAGTCATTAACTTAGTCAACATCCCATAACTAATTTGTAAACAGGTATCATGCAATGCAAAATATTTCAATTTTTAGGACGTCCAGCGCCCAGAGAAAGAAACATGTTGATTCCCTGTTGGTGAAAATTTTGGGTGATTACAACAATTACGTTCCGAAGATTGTCGACAAATCTTTAGCTAATGCTTATTTTATAGATTCAACTGAAATGAAAGATAGAATAAAGAAGGTAATTTTTCACCTAATAGTTTCAAACAAATATACGTTAAAGAGAGGGTTTTAAAAGGTTAATTGAGTGAACTAATTATTTAAGTCGTCAAAGTAAATTATTTTTCAATCTAAGTAATTTATTGATCAAGGACTAATGCTCGGCTAAAACACTCGTAAAAAATGTTTGTATATTATAAAGGAACTTCGAAACCAATACAATATTATTAGTACTCCCAGGCTATGCTTCAAATAGGCTTTATCAATTTTTATAAAACGTTAATAGCCATACGTATACATACAACAAATAAATTTTATTTTCTCATATTTTGAAGGTTTTTCATTCATTAAACTAAAAAATATAAAATTTATATATTTCTAAAATTGTTTATTGTTTCTAAAAATGAACATCAGAAATATTTTTTGCAGTTTACAGAATATTACATTATTGGACTAAAGCCGGTGCAAGGCGAAATTATGGCACATACTTACATCTCCATCGTTAAACCAATAAATTTAAGCGATGAGCTATTGCATAAAATGCAAATTGTAGTTAGTACGACGGAAATGGTACGTAATATCACATAACAATTCAAACCTACTTAAAAGTAAAATTAAACCAAAAGTCTATATTATGCTATAATATGTCCCAATGCTTGACTTCACGTACCTTCGAAATGTTTTTTATTATTATTTTGAAAATATGCAGATTTTTGTAAGTTTCACTGTAACATGTTTGAACTGTGACAGGCTCTGGACCTGTCATGTTACTAATTCCTCTCCTCTTTCCATTTGACTTATATCATTCTTTCTAGGTGCAAAGTTACTATTTCCTCTCGGACGATTATGAAGATGGGAGCACAACACGGTTAGGCAAACCGTGTTGGCATTTGCTAGACAATAACGGTACCTTAGCGTTCAGCGATGCTTGTATCTTGAGAAGCTTTATTGATGAAATTGTAAGACAAAACTTCGAAGGCAGATTACGTGATCAAATCTTGGGCATTTATAATAAAGTAAGTCGGCACATAAATAAATGAAATTTGCTGCGCGATCGATAGCTGAAACAGTAAGATAACTATTCCTCTTGAAAGTTTCGTTTGATAGTAAAATGATGTGTAGAATCGACAGCAAACTAATTTGTAGAAGGTACTTGTAACTCTTTAAGATGAATGTAAAATAATTTAAACTAAGCTGAGTTGGTTCGATTTCCGAGTTAGTTAAGTATTTTTGGGACGCAAAAATAGTTTTTGTGGGTTTGGGCTTTTATCCATTTGAAGGTCATGTATGTAAGACTATTGATAAATGCCTCAAAATATGGACATTTTACATTAAAAAAAACATTATATTGGTATGTATCTATAGACAGAGAGTCTAAAAGTATCAGTTTGAATTTTTTTCACATTCTGCTTATTGTTTGGAACCGGATCCTATACGCCACTTTTAAATCGCACTTTATCTCTTTTCAGTTGTATTTTATTGCTTCTATAGGGCAATATATGGACATAATAGGAGTTAGATCCAAAAATTACGACAAATTCTCGATGCAACTTTACAATTATTTGAATAAACATAAATCAGCCTTCTATGCTATTAAATCACCGATGCTACTGGCTTTAGCCCTCAGCAATAAGTTAAATAAGGAGACGTTTGATATTGTGGATAATATTGGCGATGATATTGGAATTTTGGTACAGATTCACGTAAGTAAATGACTTAAAAAAACTGTTACTCCAAACTTAAGAGAGATTCATCGCACCTTACAATATTTTTTAGTATTTAAAATTAGAAGCTTTGTGATGAGGACTTGGAGATTTGAATATCGACGGTCTAACCTTCTTTTATAAACCAGATAACATTAAAATTGTTAGGAAATTTCTTCTTTTCTTTAGTTTATCACTATTTTATTATATTGTATTATTTCGGCAATATAATAATATTGGTGTAAGTCGAAAGAGATGAAAAAAGTTTTCTTTCTATCGGATTTTTCGTTTCGTCTAATAATTTTTATGCTTGTTTGATAATTCCAGAACGATCTCATAGACTACTTTCTTGCGAAGGGTACTGTTTCTGGCAAAAGCGGGACCGACATACAGGAGGGTAAGTGCTCTTGGCCAGCTGTTGCCGTTTTGCAGAAGTGCAGTCCAGAGCAGCGGCGCATTTTCACGGAGAACTATGGCAGTAAGGAACCAGAAAAGGTGGAGCGTATTCTGCGTTTATACGAAGAATTTAATATACAGCAGCTCTACGCGCAAGAAGAGAAGGCGCGTTATGATATCTTCCATAAGAAAGTGAGCGAGCTGCCGAAAGACGCTATTCCTTCTGCCGAATTCTTCAAAGACTTTTATACTGTGATACGACAGTATACCGAAGATACAAAAACACTTATGTACGTCAAATTTTGAAGAAAATGATCAGAGAAGGGAAATTTGATTCTTAAAAATAAATTATTTAATGTAGTCTAAATAGACACGATAGAGATCTATATAGGTCTGTAAAATGTAGTTTTGCAAAGGAAATAAACTTTTACAGATTTTTTTTTTTTAAATAAACGAGCACTGAAATATTGCTTCGACTTTGTTAGTTTTATTATAACATTGGGCTTTAACTTAGTCACTGTCTGCGAGTACGATTGTGTTCTCGAAAATGCTAGCGGCACCACATAGTGGCATGACAAGGCTTATTCACATAATTATTAAAAGCTGTAATGCTGTGAATTAAAATTAATAAAGTCCAGTCCTTCAATGAACCTACTTAAAAATCTGTGATATCATATGCATATGTAATGTTTATTTACTTAAAAAAACCATAGCATATTTTAACGTCATGTACACGCAACTCCTTGAAAATTTTCAGTTACGATTTTCATTAACTATTCAATTTCAATATCATAGTTTTTTATTTAATTATTTGAATATCAATAAAACTAATTTTCGATACTTCGTTTTCAGCAGTCATTTGAAACAATAAAAAAATGAAATAAATTATGACATATTTAAATTGCTTGTTACAAATGTCAATAATTTTTAATTAATCGATACCGATCTTTGGGGATCTTAAAAGTATCAACTAATTTTGACGTTGTTTCTTCTGAAATTAAAATTCACATATAAAAAAAACAATATTTTCAGTATATTTGAGGTACCACTATGTAAAAACTGTGTGGTTAGTGTAAATAACTCTTACGAGAAACGCAAGGGGAACATGAGACATAATGAAATTATACTATTTGTGTTGTTCTATATTGTGAGAACTGTAATGATTTATGGATCTGAATGTTGGGCAGCAAAATAGACCAGTCAACGAAACATGCAAAAAGCATTAGATACAAAATCTAATATATAAAATTCTTGCGTCACGGTGTTTGTAATTGAACTCCTCCGAAACGGCTAAACCGATTTTCGTGAAATTTTGTGTGCATATTGGCCAGGGTGGAGAATCGGAGAACATCTATTTTTCATCCCCCTAAATGTTAAGGGTCCACAATAAACAGTTTTTTCTACCCTACAAATTCCCTAGAAATAAATTATATGGCAGAACAACGTTTGCCCGGACAGCTAGTGATTATATAAGGGAAAGCGTGAAAGTGGCACCAGTAACTGGAGTGGTAGGTTAACATGGTATTGGCACATTATGAGAAGTCATGTCCCTAAGAGTGATGAATATGAATATGGTTGGAGGGTGCAAAGCTAGAGGAAGACCGAGAAAGATTTCATGATTTGAGATGACGGCTGATAGATGAAAGTGGAAGGAAAGGCACATGTTGTGCAAACCCCGCCTAGTGTGGGATAACTATATCTTAGGACTCAGGGAAGCCTAAGTTGCTAAGGCATAGTCTATTACATTTCTGCGAGTTTATGACTCAATATAATAGATAGTAAAAAATAATAAATGGTTAAGAAAGTCATAGGCTTTTCTACTCTTTTTACATTTAAAGAATGATGGTGACTCCGTGGCGCCGTTGCCAAGGTATTTGCTTCGGCGTCGGGGGTCGTGGGTTCGTTTCCCACACGGGACAACCATTTGTGCGACCCACAGATAGTTGTTTCGCATCTGGGTGTTTGTACTCGTGCAAAATTTATGTTTGTAAAACGTCCTTTCAACACAGGATAATGTTATCCTAAAGTGAGGGTAATGATTTCACATACAAAAAAAAAGAAAAGAATGTATTAGTCCTTTAAGAATCTATTATTTGTTATTTTTATTCATAAACTTCCTTTGAAAGTCTCGTTTTGAGATTAAACTTGAGTAATTGTGAATTAAGGTATAGACCAGATGCTGAGACGTGACAAAAATTACGTAGATCGAATTCCAAGGATTTAGATGCGATGGAAGTTTTGTCACAATATGGTAAAATGATCTTTTCTGTTTGTAAGGACAAACAACAGAAAAGTAAGCCATCTCACTTGCGACTTTTTCTACACTTTACGTTTTTCATCATTTAAGGGTTGGATTGATTAGTTAATGTCACTGGCTTGGGTAAACTTTTGATCATCTTAAATCTCATGGGGTTGTTGTTTTACTAGTTTTTCACGTGATTTGTTACATTTTAGTCTAGGACGATAAATGTGATAGGGGATAATATAAATTTTCAATTTAATTGCAGTTAATACAACTAACACAGTCTGCCCTATTTTAGTCTTTGTCATATTATGCTCTAGGCACAATATCCATTGTAACCTCTTTGGTGAGGGTCCAGACATAATTGCTTTTTACTTTTAAGGAACAGACCTTTCATTTTGAATATCCATCGATCTTGTCAAGAGGGCAATATTGAAAGGTGCCGGTAGTAATACTGATGTAACTTTGTTCTTTATATTGGTTTAAATTTGTTTGTTAATTTGCTCTTACTGGACCTGGTAACAAACCGTAATCTAAAACAAGGTGGTGGCGTTGTCAAAATCCGAGGCCGCGTTTTTTACCCTCAGACAGAACGCCCACTTAATTTTGTCTGACATACGGGTAGACGGCAAGCCTGCTATGAGCTATCTTAGCCTAGTCCTAGATCTCTGATGGGAGTTGCGATGATTTTAAGTGTTTCACACTCAAAAGTGGCGAGGGCAGCGGCGGCTCGGATAGCTGCCGAGTCCTGCCGTCAACCACAATTAAATTTAGCGGTATATATAAGAATATTTTTCAGTGATTAGGATGACACAGCAATCAAAACACAATTGAGTTTCTCTGTAATTAAAGATTTATTGTAAGATTTTGAAACTATAACAAATAATAATTAAAATAACAAAAATAAAAGATTTTTAGATTAAAAATTAAAAGATTTGATTAGACTACTAAAACTTTACCTGTAATTAAAGAAACGACATTTAATGTTAATAATCACGTCGATTCCTAAATCACTATTTTACTTATTAAATATTTTTGTAATAAGATTATTTTCACGAATTGTTTCATATGTCAGCTTAATTCTTTTTCTATTATAATCCGGCGTCAAACATAGTTTTTAAAATAAATTTTATCAACGGCCGGTGCGCGAAAATATCTAAATTAAAGAAAATATTTAAATAAAAGAAAATAATATTTTTCTTTACATATATATTAACAAGAGTAATCTCTCTCTAAACAGAAATAAGGAGGAAGTTTTCTTATTTTTTCTTTACTTAGCACCTCCATCGTTGCTTATTTAACTAAACTGCCCTTAGATTTTCTTAACACAAAAGAAACTGTAAAAACATTGCAGGGCCTTCAGACCTGTATTTGAGTATAGTAGGTATTATTTCTTACTTTACATTTTAAGAAATACACGTTAATGCATGTTTGCTCCATGATCCAACCTGACTCTCGCTATCATATCTGTTTAATCACCTATCAAATGTATAATGTATCCTGTTCATTATAGTCGATCAGTCTTAGAAAGGTTTGTTTATTTTTTTCTACACCCGTATATCTCAATCATGTAATGATTTTGTGTAGGAATCTGTTATCTGTAATAGTATTGTGAAAGAAGAATGAGACAGAAGAAATGATAATAAGAAAAGGTTCATATATTATGACACTATGTTTTGGTGCCTTAAAGTTTATAAAACCCTCATTCTGATGTGTAAAAACTCGATCATACAGGTGATGTGATAAATATAATAGGAATCGATGAAAGAACAATGGTAAAGTAATGAATTTTGTTAATGTTGTTTGTGCAAAAATTATTTTCAGTCACAGTTGTTTTTTTAGGTAAGAGTTTAAGGTAAATTGAATGTTAAATTTAAAAGAAAATTACGTTTACGAAGCTACTATACTTATCTAAATAATAATACGAAACTATGTTACGTATTCCGTTTTCCCAATATTCTCCATACTTGATAAGTTGAGAACATTGTCCCCATAGCTCGAGAGTTTCAGGCGGATATTTTACCGAGAATCTTGCGGTATTTGCTCCCTGCATCTAAAATTTCGCATTTAAAGGATATTTTACACCTAATCCCATGAAAACCCGAGGTTTTTGTTATTTATATATATATATATATATATTTATTATTATATTCGAGTTTTAGATGAATACTAACTCTTAGTTAAACAAAACTGTCTTCGGCAAATGAACAAAACAAGTCAAACTCGAATTAAAATAAAAGTGTTTTTAAACTGGCAGACTTTAAAAAAAAAAAAATTTTAATTTCCCAATTCGATTCTTAATCGTTTGTTGACGTAAAATAGTTAAGAAAAATAAAGTGTAAGCAAAAAAAATGTGTACAATTTGTAGCTAAGCTTATTAGCTACAAATTGAAGGAATTGAATTATCAATTAGCGAGACAAAACTTTACTTTTAAAATATTTTTATTTAATTAAATAACTTTTGTATTTGGGTCTCTCTCACACTATTTGATTTTCACTTTTATATTATTATTCGTAAAATACTTGCAATAATTGCAATTAATTTTAAAACGAGCTTTTGGTATATTATTGTTTTTTTTTTTGCATTGTATCTGTCCTGTACTTATAAAATCGCGGCAGAAGAACAATATTTGAATGTGAACAGTTTATATATCTAGTAGCTGTGCCCGCGACTTACTCCGCGTGGAATTTAAAATTTCTAAAATAAAAGAAGCCTAAGTTACTCCTTATTACATCAGCTATCTGCTAGTAAAGTCCCGTTAAAATCAGTCCAGCCGATATAAGAGATTAGCCGGAACAAACCGACAGACAAAAAAATATTTTGGTATATGTATCCGTGTATATATCCATATGCATTTAGTTAAAAAAAAAACGGTTATTTTAAAATTACAAACAGACAGTCCAAATTGTAATTCTGTATTGATGTATTCTGTATTCTGTACAGATTTATTTTGCATTGCAGCTTTCGTTTCATTTTTTACATGTAATTTCCTTTGTGCAGAACATTAATCAAAGGATTCGCTGCGAAACAAACCGTTCTTACCACAAAACTGTTTCGTTC